AATATTCAAAAGACAAATAGGTCTCCAATTTTTAAGAAATTGCCTTGGTTTATCTACTTTTGGTATACATGTAATAATTCCTTGTTTTTGAGTTATAGGGAAGTTTCCATTTATATATGCATAATTAATAGATCTTACAATAAATTTAGCTAGTTGTTTTCCAAAAGTACTTAAAAATGATTCTACTGTAAATCTGTCCGCCACGGGGCTTTTCATAGTTTTCAAATATTTCAAAAGTATGTGACGCTTCAGTAAAAGTTATATTAAAGATTCTACGTTGTTTAATTTTGGAACATTACAATCACATAGAAATTAATCTAAATCCACTTCTTCGATATTACTATTACACGTACTATATCAAGTTTCGTTTCCTTGCGGCTTTTAAATAGGATGAACCGTTGGTCATAACATTTACATTAAAGATAAACTAAACAGTAGCCCGAATTCAAGCGTAAACATATTTTGTAAGACTTAAATAAAACAAAAAAATATTGACTTTGTTCACTGTGACCGTATAGACTTGCACAAGCTCCAGCAATATCTAATAACCGGAAGAGCTGCCTACGTGTGCGCACGAGACCGGAGATTAAATAGTTCCCGCGACCGCACTAGCCTAGTGGTAGGATTATAAACGATGGTTATCGCCACTTAAACAAACAACGTACATTTGTGTTCAGTTAGCTTTGGACAACGTGAGATTGATACGTCCTCGACGTCTGTATTGATAACATGTCTCCGACTGAGTTTCACAGGTAAGCTAAGTAGCATGGTTCTATAAATAAACCGGCGATATTAGTTATGGCAGAGACGTATAATATTATACGTCTCTGGTTATGGTTACGTAATCGCGAACACAAATCGGGACATCCCTACCAGTTTTGACTTATATTTGGAGATAAAAAGGTATTTAGCATATCTTTGGAATATTTTAAGAGTCAATGGTCGGTCTGAATGAATTTCTTTTCCAAACTAGGCAAGTTGTGAAATATATCTAGCTAGTAGGCCTAGTATTGTGAAAAATCACATACAATACATTGAAAATCGATAACGTCACATGGCGCATCAATTTAGAACGTTACACAGTTTCGACATTTTTTACAATCTAAAAATGTTATTGAAACCATAAGTGGCTGTTAATAAAGTCCATATAAGGCTTTAGTTGTATATTAGCATCTTTTAATTAATATTTAATCCGACATACACGGTTGCAGTATAATCAAATTTATAAACAATTTTAAGCCTAAAATAGTAAATACTTCTTAACATTATTTGAAGAAAATGTGTATTTAACGTTATTTGCAGTATTATGCATTTAAAATGTTAACTTTTAAAGAAGACAGAGGGGAAATATTTTTTTTCTTGTTAATTCCCAAGATTTTCAAATTAATTAATTCACTGCTAATTTAAGATGAGTTTCAATTCCAATTGCAGTGCAACCTTTACCGCTCTTTTCTATTCACTTGATTCGGTAGATCATCAATAAAAAGTTTTTTTGCTGACAATGCACTTGCTTGTAAGATAAGTTCAAGTCCAAGTTCTTTATTAACTTTAAGTCTTGCGACTTATCTGTGTAAACATATATTTAACAGGATATTTACATATGTACAAAAAGCCACATTGGTCACGGGAATGAACAATACACACATACAAACTTATACATCTGATCGGCGCTTATTTGCCGCTATCAGATACTTTCCAAGATATCATAATCCTTTAAGTATTTAATAATTGAACAAGCTTATATACACTAGGGTTATTTCTATAGTAACATTTTAAATACTTCCGTCTTAAATCTGTATATTTGTGCAAACTAAAACAAAATGAAACTCGTCTCCTATGTCATTAAGATAACACTTTGTAGATAATCTATTAGTTCTAACAGTGCCAACCTAACGTCCAGATTCAATGTTTAATTTGTGAGCTGACAGCCTAAGTCGAGCAATTTCTGTCATATAACCGATATTAACTGATTATGTTCGATAAGTTTGTAGTAAAATTGTACTGTTTAATTCTCTGTAAAGCATACCTTTAGACATACCTGTTATTCAACTATATCCCTCTTGATTAAAAATGTCAAATAATCTTGCCTTAACAATTAAAAAAGTGAAATTGTTTCCATTCTGTGCGTCCCAGATATATCCTTAGCCTAAACGATACAATTCATCTTTTATTTCACAGACCCATGGATCCTTGATTAGCAGCATATTTTCATAACAGAATTTCAAAATACAGTTTTCGGTAATGAGCAATTTAAACCAATATTTAAATATTTTTAGTTTCCTTGTTACATCCAACCGATAACGGCCTAATTCGAAATATACCATCCTATTCGGAGTGGATTTGCGCAAACCTAGCAACCTTTTACAAAAATCTACCTGTAGTTTTTTCGTTGTCAGAGCCTTTATGGAATCCCCATACTTCTGATCCGTAGTTGACTATACTACTGAAATAAGTATTAAACAATGCTTTTCTTCCTTGTTCAGATATTTTTTTCTGTGTTTGTTAAAATTTCCCATTATAATTCAATAAGATTCCAAGATAGTTGAATTCATTCACTATCTCTAACACACACACATCGTATTCTCATTTTTCGTTATCTTTTAATCTTCCCCCATTTCTAAAAACAACAATCTTGGTCTTTGAAATATTTACAGTAAGGTCCCACTTGATAGTGTAATTTAACAAAGAGTCTAGGATCTTTTGCAAACCTTGAGGTGTTACGGCAAGGATAACTGTATCATCAGCATACATAAGTAAAAATATGTTAATTAGTTGTAAGTCAATCGAAGGACAGCTGTCCCCTATAACTTGCATTTCGAAATCGTTCAGATACAATAAAAATAACAGAGGTGACAAAATTTCTCCTTGAAAAAGTGCAATCTTACAGTCGAAAAAATCAGAGCATACTCCGCTGTTTTTTACACAGCATCTTACATTTTTATAAAGTGATCTGATAACATTTAACATTTTACCTTCAATACCTTCTTTGATCAACCTGTACCATAAATTCTGTCTATTGATCAGGTCAAAAGCTTTGGTATAGTCAATGAAACAACAGTATAGACGTTTTTACTTTTTAGCGTTCGCTTAATTAGGGCCTGTAATGTAAATTTATATATAGCATCTGTCGTTGAACAATTCCGTTTGAATCCTAAACTGAGCATCTGCTATCTTATTGTACTCCATGTCAAATTTCACCAATCTTTTATTTAATACAGACGTAAAAAGTTTACCAATACAACTGACAATTGAAATACCCCTGTAGTTATCAGGGTTACCTGGGTCACCTTTCTTGAAAAGTAGTTCTCACACATGAATAGGTCTATTTCTTCAACATGGCTCAATCCAATAATCGTTAAAGATCTGATTTTAGAGTGATATTCCTTATACTGACAGATCTACCAGAGTTACTATAGCTGATTTTCAATTGATTTTTGCATTTTCCTTTACTTAAATTTAACACCAAAACCAAAAATGAGATTTTCATTCATCAATATATAATTATTGTTTGTTTCATCATTTTTTTTTCTTTTTCAAACTATACAGTATACTGCAGCAAATTCATTTATTTTTTTACAAAAGAATAGGAGAGGAGAATATGTGTGACTTGGAGAAAACAATAACATGTTTAATTGTCAGCGGGAAAAAATTGGGACAGTCGATAAACAAGAAACACAGCTACCTGGTATATTTGTATTTGGCCTGATCAGAAAAACAAACTGGTTGCCAGGCTGCCATCTTGGATTTTGACAGGCTCGGTTTGTTATCACTATTTGAGTATATCCCAAGAAGTACCTGACAGATCTTTCTCAAATGTCAAATTTGTTAATTCTATTAATAAACATTCTGTTTATTGATTCATTTTATCCGTATAACAGTTAAATAGTTAATTCAAAATGGAGAGAGTGACAGAGAACAATTGATTATTTTATAATTATCATGTCAAAATCAATTTTGATTTTACAGACAGAGGTTACTATCAGCCGCCAATGCCTATGCTTGGAAATGGTGCCTTCCAACCTTGCTATGGCTCAGCACCAGCACCAGCACCAGCACCAGCTCAACAAATGGTTCAAGACAGGCTTCCAAGTTATTGTCCCATGACTGCAGAGCTTTTACAGCCCAACTGCACTTTTGAAGAACGCCATTTCTTCAAAAAGATTCAGCTGCGATCTTGGATTGAAGAGAGGGAACAAACATTGTACAAACAGGGGAAAAGCTTTTTGAATGTAAGTTATTTCTTTAATATTTAGCTGTCTATTTAGTAAGCAATTAACTTGTCACATGTCAAGGTACGCAAAGGTATGTGCAAGTTACTGATATATTTAAGAACTTTTGACCGAAGTGTTGCGGGTTCGAGTCATGTCACTGCACTGTGTTGGGTCTTTGAACAAGATACTCTGCTTGTTCCAGTCTACTCAGCTGCAAATGAGTATGTGGTTGGGCAGCGCTAAAATTGTTGAATGCTGTATGCTCTTATATTCTTCACATAGAAATATTAGCCAGTTAAAATTTGTCCATGCCTGTGATCTTACTAAGAACTGTTTTATTATCATTGGCTTATATATCGACAAACTATTAATTATCCATTATAACTCAGGACATATTAACTCAGTCTAAAAATTCATAAAATGTTATTCCTATTTAGATTTTTTACTAACGTTCTATTCTTGCATTAATCCATGTCAAGGAAAATATTTGAAGATGCTTCTTTGACACAGTACAGATAGTTTTAAAAAAGGTCTATTCATTCACAGTTTACCACATTACCCTAAATTACACGCGTGTGTATTGGATGTTGCCAGGTTTTCTATTTGCAAGCATTACTATATTTCCAAAAAGCATTCATAGTGCCCTAACACTTAATTACGACACCACTGTAATTGAACAATCTTTCTTAGATCTTGCTAGATTCTATTCTAGCCAGTAGTCAATATATTCACCTATTTCCCATAACATGTTATGCTTTTTTTATAGATAAAGAAAATGTGCCCCGCTGTCAATTTGGACAAACAAAGTACCAACCTTCAGCTGTGAAAGAAGGTTTCTCAAAAATTGAGAAATCAAAAAGTCCTGCTGTCTGACAAGTATGTACATGTACTGGCTGACAAGTATGTACGTGTATTAAAATAAAGATTCACGATAGAAGTGTTTTATAATGGAGAAAAGACCTTTGTCATGCGACCAAATGGAAAAAGATTAGAAACAAAGAAAAAATGAAATAAATTCCTTTGCAGATGTATAAAACAACATTTTGAGAAATTTGGATTGAAATGAGTTTTGGTTAAAAACATTAATCTAATGTAAGTTATGGCTTATACTTTGAAGATCATTTATGATTGTGCTTGCACTTTACAGTTGATTTTGTTGTTCAATAGAAGCTACACTGACATCGCAGAACTTGAAAGAAGGGGACGTGACCTACTGGCCACAGAAGCTATTGCCTTTGTCCAGCACGCTGTGCAAAGGGAGGAGTTAGAGAATATGTAAGTACGAAGAAAGCACTTTTTTAAGCAGAAATAATTGTACCAGTTATCGAAGTTTACTTCCAATAGAAATTCATAAAACATGGGAGTTGTTTACTAGTTCACTGTATCATAGTGTTAAAAAAGGAATTAATGAAAAGCTTTCTGTTTTTATAAATCTGAGATGCCAGTAAATGGCATCGGTTGTTAATGATCCTGGGAATACATTTAATGATACTTAACTAATTGAATCAATCACTGAAGAGTATGTGGATAACCAAGTCCACACTTTTCAATGTTTGGTTGAATTTTTTCTGCAAGCAAGTTAACTGGTTATTTTGACTTTTTCATTTTACTTGGAAAATCAATGGCTAAACAATTCATATTTATTACACCTTATTAATGGGGGGGGGG